TCAAGGAGACAGCTCCTTGGAAAATTTAGGATCATTACGGACAATTGTACGGTATGTTGGCAGAAATGATTTCATTCCTGAGTTTGATCCTCAATCATCCACTGTGCCAATTGAACACTGGCTGAGGAATTTAGAAAGCATTTCTAAAATTCATGGCTGGGATGAACCCACCTTAATATGCAATTGTACATCTAAACTGCGTGGCTATGCCAAAAGTTGGTATGAGAGACAGCCAACATATGAGTTAAGTTGGAGTCAATGGAAAGAAAAACTGATTACATCTTTTCCTTTTACAAAAAATAAGCTTTGCCAAATTAGAGAGCTTGTTAATCGAGTAAAGTTACCCAATGAGAATGTTATTGAATTTTATTACAATAAATTGGGTATAGGCATATCATGTCAACTTACTGACGATGTAATTTGTCAAGCTATTGTAGGCACTCTGGGTAATAAATTATTAGAAGTTGGAGCGTTATCAGCTGGTTGTCATGATACAACTTCATTACTAAAGTATTTAGCAAGTTTCATGAACACAAATGACAATAATGGAAATAAACCTGAGGAAGTTAACAAGCCTAACATAAATAAATCCATTAAATGTTTCAAATGTAATCAAGATGGCCATAAAGCATTTGCTTGTTCTCATTTCAAAAATCAAAAGGACTATTCAAATAAATGTTCTTTCTGTAATAAGTCAGGTCACACAGAGTCAGTATGTTTTAAAAAGAAAAACCAAGATAAGTTTTGTTCTTATTGCAAAATAAAAGGTCATGTGTTGGATGAGTGTCGAAAGCACTCAGCAGCCACACAACATAAAAGTATTAGAAAAGTTCAGCAAGTGAATTTGCATGATTAATAACATCCTAAAAAAAAAAAAACAATTAATTAATGGATACCAAATTGTTTCATTGATTTTGGTAGTTCCTGTGACATAAATGAAACAAGGAAGTTGTAATAAATTTAAGTTAAATATGGATACTGTTAAGACAGCTGTAATCAAAGGAGATAGTGATGCAGTGATCTTACCAAAGGGGTGTAACTACAGTATATTTAACAGAGGATTGAATAAAGAAGTTTTATGTTATTTTTGATAAGGTGATGAGGCTGTTCAACTGAATACCAATGAGTGATTGCAAGAGCCTATCTTTTACAGGATAACACAAATTATAAGTCTGATACAGCAGAAAACCTTACAGAGTTGTTTCTCAGGCAGCTTGGAAATTTTAATATTGAAATGTCTATCAAATTGCCTGAAGATGTGATTATTAATTAATAGCCATACAGAATATCATTCCATGAATGAGGAATAATCAGAGAAATTGTCAATGGTTTACTTACAGCTGGAATCGTAGACCCTTTAAGTTCACCATACTCGAGTCCTGTACTCCTTGTTAAAAATGAAGAAGGTGGCTATCGAATGTGTATAGTCTACAGAGCACTGAACAAAATTACAATTAAGGAGAGGTAACCATTACCTGTCATCCAAGACTTATTGGATAAATTAGTGGATAAGTCAGAGTTCTGTTGTCTAGACATGGCAAGCTTCATCCATGCCGTATACAGGATTTTCCACACTGGTCATTATCAGTATCGGATGATGAGCTTTAGTCTTTGTAATGCGCCTGTGGTATTTCAGAGGGCAATGAATGAAATATTAGTTCCTTTTGTTCATGAATGTGCTGAAGTGTATATTGATGAGAAAATCGTTTGGGGAAATAACGCACACAAGTGTACAATTTAGCAAAGTTCTCCAATTGATAGATGCTGAGATTGGTGTTAAGTTTTAGCAGACTAAGTGTTCTTTCTTAACTGAAACAGTAGAATATGATCCAGTACTAATGATGTATGATCCAAAAAGCTCTACACAAGTGTTGCAAACATTTGGCTGGTGAACTCTTTGGTCCTAGATACACAAAAGAGTTGGCTCAATTAAGGGCTGAGGCAGCTAATAAGATGGAGGCAAATGCTTTAAAATGAAATGCCGTTTTGATTGGCCAAGCCAATTGCTGTTGGGTCTATAGTAAAGAGAGGAAACCACAATGAGACCAGGTTTGACAAGTGGAAAAGTTGTACCACGATCTGCAGGATCTTAAAAGGAGACTTCATTTTTATCAAACTACCGTTACGACGTCACTTCGGCCGATAGGGGCAAAGGAAATATAAAAATGTAGAATTTATTTAAGAAAAAAAAAATACTAATAAAAAGTATACAACGATAATATATACAAATGGATGCCGTGAGGGGCGTATATCCATGAATGCCGTTGGGGGCCTGTACAGATGGATGCCGTAAGGGGCTTATATCCATGAATGCCGTCAGGGGCGTGCACAAATGGATGCCGTGAGGGGCTTATATCCATGAATGCCGTAAGGGGCGTGCAAAAATGGATGCCGTGAGGGGCGTATATCCATGAATGCCGTAAGGGGCGTACACAAATGGATGCCGTGAGGGGCGTATATCCATGAATGCCGTAAGGGGCGTGCACAAATGGATGCCGTGAGGGGCGTATATCCATGAATGCCGTAAGGGGCATGCACAAATGGATGCCGTGAGGGGCGTATATCCATGAATACCGTAAGGGGCTAGTATTCATATTTGCCATATGCTGCTGAAATTGTAATTGCTCTAATGGGCTCAATTTCATACTCGCCGTAAGGGGCTTGTCTTTATAATTAACTTTCAGGTTAAATAACTGCAACTGCCACCTGGTCATCAGGCTACGAGTCTTCGATACAGGAACCTGCTGCCGAAACTTAATAGAGGATCCTTCGAGGACGAAGGAAATTCAGGATGGCCGAATGTTAGACGACGAAAATCAACTAAAAGAACGTCACTAGTTTAATCTATGTTATCGACAGCACTAGCTGTCATATTGACGATGTCATCTGTCAAATGGGACAGATTAGAAAAGTTTCCCGCGCAAAGTGGAGTGACGCGCGAATCTGGTGGGAAGTTGGAGGAGCATTGCGCTGTGTTCTTATGAATCCGTTTATAATAAACTTTTCAGTTTTTAAGTATTGAGTTTTACTTAAAATTTTTTTTTAAAAAGGGTTCCTTAAGGTTTTTTTTAAGGGGGGAAAATCATCGAATGACAGCTCCCGCCTCGGTGAGGTGGCAGGGAGTGTCAGACTATTACTGACTAAAAACCACCCCGTTCCTTCTCCTGCGCTTCGAGCCGGAGCCCCGGTAACCCTTTAGGATCTCCGCGACTTCCTTAAGGTTAAGTTTTAGGTAAAGACCTTCTCCAAGTTTTGCCAATCGTCTCTTGATTTCACTGTTTGTATCTAGTTTGATCCAGCTATTTGTTTAATTTCGTCCTCCTATCTTTTACGAGCTTTAAGTAAACTTACCCCTAATATTTGAGTGTATATATAATAATATTCACACGTCTGCCTACGCCTTCGGTGATTTCATGGAGATCATAAATACAACTCACATTACATTAACGTCCACATAAGTGTACGTTATGTTAAGTATTATTGCCCAGAGACACACATACACTAAAGTCATATTAACCGAACTTATCCCTATTCTTTCGTCAATTATTCAGCAGCTGAAAAAGTATAATCGACAAGGTAGATGGCGTGATTCGTCTACATCCTAAAATTGAGAACTTTTTTTTTTTTTAGTATTTTTTTTTTGTTTTTTTTTTTGGGGGGAAATCATCGAATGACTGCTCCCGCCTGGGTGAGGCGAAAGGGAGTGTCAGACTCTTACTGACTAAAAACCACCCCGTTCCTACTCGTGCACTTCGAGCCGGAGCCCCGGTAACCCGTATGTAGCATAAGTATAAAGTCATTTATTTAATTTGTTCAATTAATTTTTTATACAAAAAATGTTGATTTGAACAAAAAGGAAAAAACAAATTTTCTTCTACTTCCGTCTAATCCACCCTTCTTTTTTAAAGTATGACCAAGAATACTTTCATATTAACAAGTACAAAAACAGTCGACGAGGATGGGATTCGAACCCACGCGTGCAGAGCACATTGGATTAGCAGTCCAACGCCTTAACCTCTCGGCCACCTCGTCATGGGAACTCTTGGCGAAATACAACTACATATTGTATAATTATCCGCATATATTTATATTAAATGCATTTGTATATTGTATTAGGTGCATTCAGTTTTCAGTGCAGTTGAATAAATATTTGTTCAAGTCGCAACAAAACCACTTATTTTTTTCTGTAGTGAGATTTTTATGGCATAAGCCAGTAAACGAGCAGACGGATCACCTGATGGTAAGCAATCGGCGTCGCCCATGGACACCTGGAACACCAGAGGCATTACAAGTGCGTTACTGGCCTTTTGGGGATTAAGAGTTTGAGGATCGTTGGGGATTCAGGAATTGGGGAGATTGGGGAAGGGGAGGGTAATTGGGCCTCCTGTAACCTCACTCACACAACAAAACACAAGCGTTGCTACACGTCGGTTTTCAGTGAGGCCGTGGATCACTCGAGCCGGCTCATTCGTGCCGAAGCATGGTTCTCCCACACTTAAGTGAGAATGTAGAGGATATGTTGTTGAAAAGAGTAGATACTAAACCAAAGAGTTTCTTGATTTTTTCTTTTCTGTAAGAATCTTTTTATTACTACTGATTTAATTCCTAGACAAATTAGGCAAAGCGATTTGAACTTTGGTGCACATTCACATCAACAGCCTATAAATGCCCACTGCTGAACAAAGCCTCTTCTCACATGGAGAAGGCTTGAGAGCATTAATCACCACGCTTACTCAATGCGGGTTGGCGATTTCAAACTTATAATTAGAAATTATAAGCCCAGGGTGCTTACTCTTGAAACAAATCTCAATGTCAATGCAATTTCAATCCAATAAAATCTCAATAATTATCCAATGTCAAAACTATACAACCTCTATCATAACTGCTAAAGTAGCATTTAGAGTACGGAATATAAAACCAAACTCAATACTATTTAGTTCATGAAATATCCGCGCAATACGGATGCAAACGGCGCTAGTGTTACAAATCAAGAGTACGAAATTTCACAATACCAATGTCGATCGATCCGAATTGGATTCAAGAGTAAGCACCCTGGTTCCCTCACGATGTTATCCTTCAGCGTTTGTGTCTAAATAATATTAGAAATTACATATAATTCAAAATAATAAAAATAAAGCTATGCTACTGTGAAACTTTCAATTCAAAAGATCCAAGCAAACTCGATCTTTCGCCAAGTCATTGGTTGTGAGATTAATCTCGACCAATGATGGGCGAGAATGAACTAATCGAGCTCATTTCAAAAATTCGAATTGACAGTTACAGAATAACATAGACGGACAGTTTGACATTTTTACAACTAAATAAGCTAATCTGTAGTAATCTTATACTATTATATAAAGCTGAAGAGTTTGTTAATTTGAACGCGCTAATCTCAGGAAGTACAGGACCGATTTGAAAAATATTTTTTGTGTTTGATAGTCAATTTATCGAGGAGTAATAAAAAGGCTATAAAACATCACGATACGATCAATAGGAGTCGAGCAGAGCGGTTGAAACCGCGTGGAAGTAGCTAGTATTTAATATGTACAATATACTCACGGCTAGCAGAAGATAGCAGGTCGGGTAGATACGGTAGTTTCTTGATGAGGATAATACTGTCGAAGCACGACGGTTGTAGCAAGGAGGCCGTCGCGTTGGCGGCTAGTACGGCGGCCATTATTGGGAGGAGGTGGGTCACCTGTTTTTAGTTTTAGAATAAGGAACAAATTGTAGTGTTTAAAAATCCTAATTGAAAAACATAATAGACTCATTACTCGCCCCTAAAATTTTCGAAAGTTTCCCAAGATCATGACCTCATGAAAATGAGACCATCTCGGGAGTATCTGTATACTCTTTCAAACAAAACAAGAATTTTGGAAATCGGTTCACAAATGGCGGAGTAATGCGCGAACAAACAAAAAAAGACAATCAGCCGAACATAGTACCTCCTCCTTTTTTGAAGTCTGTAATAAATAATTAATATCTTTTTCGTTTATCTGTCTCGTTTATTTAAATATGATTTTTTCATCTTGAATTGTATACAATACTTACATGCACAATTATAACGTTATTAAGAAGCTACTTAGTCAGCAGGTTTTGCTATTAGATATTACAATTTTTACTTGAGATTTAGCTACATCAACATTGGGTTTGTACTGAAGTGAAAATCTTGAAAATTTAAGATTATGATTCTTTTGAGAAATAATTCTGTAGTCCAATTAGTCTGCGTAAGATTATTTAACAATTGATTAACAGGGTAGAACGAAGTTTTAGATGAACCACAATATAATTGTACCTGTCCAGTCATCTCGCTGACGATGACAATGGTGGACACAGTGTGAGTGACTGCGCCGGTGAAGGCGGCCGCGCCTACCACCGCGTAGCCTCCTGAAATCACAATCAAGTAATTTAATTATTATACATATCGTACCTCCAGTGCTATACCGTCACTTATATATTGCAGGGTCCTGCGCGCAACTGAACAATGAAACGTTGTTTTTCCTAGTGCCGTCCAGATTAGCGTCAAAACCGTAACGAAAGCAATGTCCTCACAATGTCAGTTTGCTTACTACACAAATGACAATAACGCACCAAGTAAAGAGGTGAATTTTGAGTATTCTCACATAAGTGTTCTCATTTAATGTGAAACCTACTTTTTGATTGTTCATTTCTTTTTTTTTTATTATGAAATTATGAAAGAATAATCAGTTAAGTTTTGAAAAGTAAAGAAAAAAAAGAAAATTTAACTGATTATGAAAGAATAATCAGTTAAGTTTTGACAAAAATTGCATAAGTGACGATATTGCACCGTAGGTGCGATATGTAAATAGGTGCATGGTGCAGCTAGTAAAACGCTGTTACGGATATGTCAGAATTGCTTATAATCATTATTATTTAAAACACTGCGGTAGATTTTTTAAACAAATCTCCAGAATTTCTCTACATACAGTGCGGTATACAGTATAGTAAAATAAATCCCATTAAAAGTAATGAACAATCAAAAAGTAGGTTTCACATTAAATGAGAACACTTATGTCTGTACCTTCAGGAATAAAGACAGTGTTACATGTGCACTACATTTATAATATCTTATTACTGTACTATTCAACTCACCAGGCAATATCTTCTGTATATGTCCCCCGTAGGCAACGCCGAGTGGACAAAAGTAGTGCATCACCTCCCCCGTGAACCTGCCGAGGGAGGCTCCCATCTTGAACGCTGGGACGAAGATACCCGCCGGCACTGGCAGCGTACACGATACTAAGCTTAGGAAGAACTGGGGAAGGAAAATAAGTTTTTTTTATGGTATACGGGCTAAACGAATCATATGGCAAGTGATTAGCATAGTTCATGAGCAAAAATTCTTTTTTAAGTGGGAAATATCATCGAATGACTTCTCTTGCCTGGGTGTGGCAGATAGTGTCAGACTGTTACTGACTAAAACCACCCCGTTCCTACTCCTGCTCTTCGAGCCAGAGCCCCGGTTACATTTAACATTCTCCGCGGCATGAGCAACCAGAAACACTAGACGGTTTACAGAGTTACAATTTTGAGTAATTCTTCTTATCGCCATGCCCTACAATACCTTACAATTCTTGAAATCTGTCATACGATATGAATGGGACCGATAGAGAGCACCCTAGATATGGACATGTATCCACCATATTGGCGACATATTAAAGAAGGGACAAATTAAAAGTCTACTTAACCGATGACCATGCATGAAAAGACTGATGACTGTTGATGAAGCGAAAGAGGTATGTAAGAATTGTAGCAAATGGCGTTCCATAGTAGATACTAGGCAGAGGCCTACCCCCACAGGGGACAGGCGTGAGGTTATGCACGTATGTTCATAGGATCTGGAATTGGGAATTTTTAGCCATAGAGTCTACCTCGTTGGCCGAGTGGTCGCAAGTGCGACTACCGGGCAAGGGGTCTCGGGTTCGATTCCCGGGTCGGGTAAAGTAATACATGCTTTAAAAAAAATCTCAGTAGTAGCACGGAGTCTGGAAATATGCCCGGTATATGGCAATAGGCTCACTCCCTATTACATGGAACTCATAACATAAATAGTGAAAAGTGGGTGTTACTTCTGTGTGCAGCTTTGCCTACCCCTTCGGGGATAAAAGGCGTGATGTTATATTATGTAGTCTACCTCACAGTATGTCTAGTACCATATCTGGCAAATACAAATTCATTGTAAATACACATAGGTAATAATAAAAGCCGTGATGTCATAATGAAACGTTGTGTGGAAAATAAGTATACCACAGGTTGAGTGCAGTAGGTAATATTGGCTGTGTTGTCACATGACGAGGTGGCCGAGAGGTTAAGGCGTTGGACTGCTAATCCAATGTGCTCTGCACGCGTGGGTTCGAATCCCATCCTCGTCGACTGTTTTTGTGATTGTTTGTAAGTATTTTTAATGAAATACTTGATAATTATTAATTATACCTACATAAATTAGAGGTTTAGAATAAATTTAAAAGTTAAAGAAAATAGAATATTGTTTTCTTTCATGGAAATGCCTACAACCTAAATAATGCTAGAAAACCTACAACAAATATGATAAGATACCTTAGTATTTTTATGAGACCATTTTGTCAAAATAATGTAAATATTTATCCATGATTTCAAGTCATCTCAAAACAAAATTGTGTGTGTTGTAAAAACGTACATAAATAATTTTAATTTACCACCTAACGGCTCCAATGATAAGTACCTAAATCAATCAATGTGGATCGGTCTATGAGATTTTTTGTACGGAGTGTTTGTCAAAAATTTATTGCGCTGCACAGATTTTTATGGGATAAGCCGGTAAACGAGCCCACGGTACACTTGATGGTAAGCAATCGGCGCCGCCCATGGACACCTGGAACACCAGAGGCGTTACAAGTACGTTACCGGCCGTGGTATCACTCTAGTCGAGCCGGCCCATTCGCGCCGAAGCATGGCTCTCCCACACTTATCCTTTTGGACTGAGATAGGTTATTAATTTCAATCTTAATTCTAACATCCCCGTATTCGTGTCAAAGCGAGTGTAATAAGTTATACTCACAATGGAAAAGAAGTATATGATGAGACATCCAAAGTGGTCGACCTCGAGAGTCTGCCAGTGAGACACCACGGAGGCTTGCTCCGCCGTCAGCTCGTCCGTCCAGGTGAAGTTAGAGAACAGGGAGAGGACCTGCAGATGTACAGAGATTACTAAATTTCTTTATTACCTTTTTACGCATTATCTATACAACTAATTTTCTTGAAATTTTGCATACCTAATAGATAGATATAACGCGTGGACAAGGCCGTAGGTAAAGGTAGTAAAGAATAAAATAATTTCACTCTATATTAACTCTGTGGACGCCCTTTTTGAGAGGGGAAAATCATTCTTAAATCTTCGCCCGGGTGAGGCGAGTAAAATTATCAGACCCTTATTCACTCGTCGTGTTCCGCGCGCGCTTCAAAGAGCTATCAGACCACCACGGATAATGCCGATACGGAGCCGTGGAAGACTTAACGGGTTGCCGGAGCTCCGGCTATAAAGGGCAGGAGTAGGAACGGAGTGATTTTTAGTCAGTAAGAGTCTGACACTCGCTCCCGCATCACCCAGTCGGGAGAAATCATTCGAAGATTTTCCCCCCTTACAAAAAAAAGACTCTTACTGACTAAAAACCACCCCGATCCTACTCCTGCCCTTGGAGCCGAAGCCCTGGCAACCCGTTAAGTTTTCCGCGGGTAGACATAGGAACTTAAGTCATGTAAGTCACTCTATATTAAATCTAAAAGTTTAATATTTTTTTGCGCACCTTTCTTCTATTCGTTTTTCTTTTGAGAATGGGGATGATGACAGGGTATGAAAATTAAAAATATAATTAGTCCGTAACTTAGGTAATGAAATGTACTGAGAAGTGACGTCACGCGACATTTCAAATCAATATATCTTCGAAACTATTCGTTTCCGTAAGAAAATAAAAAATACGTGTCTAATGTTTTTAAATAATCTACCAGACGGACATTAAAATAAAAATTAGTCGTCTACCCCATTATGTTTTTTTAGTGATACAGCCATTCAGTACTTTTTTAATTTAATCGATGCTAATCGTTAGAAATAAATCAATTTAATAATATTAAAATTTGTTCACCTGTTCTTGGTTTCCAAGATCAGCCGCCATATATTTCCCGATACCAGGCGGGAACAGTATGGACATCACTGCTAGTGTTATGAAGCCAGGGTAGATGAAACGACTGGAAAGAAACGTAATAATTAATAAAATAATTAAGAGATTTAATAATTGGAACCCTAACCATCGGTAGCTTGGACCATGCTCCCGCTACTGGTCGGCTTTTTTTTTTTATATTTTTAATATTATTTTTTTTATTTTGTAAGTACTTAAGTAGTATTTAAATATGTAAATTGTAGAGAATTTTAAATAAATATATGTGAATATAATAAAACAATGTCATGCTTGTTAACTTTAACTATCGCTTGACCATGTAAGCGCAGTGAGATTCCCTCGCGATTAATTCAAGAATCACTGCACAAATTTTGTCTGCCTCGCTGGTCGAGTGGTCGCAAGTGCGAACGCCGCGCAAGGGGTCCTGGGTTCGATTCCCGGGTCGGGTAAAGTACTAATGGATTTAAAAAAAAATTCGGTAGTAGCACGGAGTCCGGTATATGGCAATAGGCTCACCCCCTATTACATGGGACTCATAACAACTGGTTGTAAAGTGACATTAAGTGCCGTAATGTGCACCTCTGCTTACCCTTTCGGGGATTAAAGGCGTGATGATGTTATATATAAATTTTGATGTTTGCCTCCTGGTATACTAGGAGCCACTGGATAAAATATAGTCAAGTTATACCCTGACTAACTTGGTTAAGCAACTTACTTCTTCTGCAAGAAGTTACTGAGTGACTTGGTGTTCCTGATGAAGAGCACGTATTGTCGGTGGAGGAACACCCACAGCGCGGCTAGGAGGCCGCTGACGATGCTGGAAGCAGAAATAGGATGGTTTAATATTATAAACCTTATATGTATGTCTTTAAAGATAACTTCGGAGAATGTCCTTATTTAAAAACGATTCTTAGTTATAGTGGGTAAGTCATAAAATTAAAATATTTCATGATTTCGGATTTTTTCAAAAAAATTAGGCCTCCGGTAACCTCACTCACACGACGAAACACAACGGCAGCGTTGTTTCACGTCGGTTTTATGTGAGTCCGTGGTATCACTCCGGTCGAGCTGGCCCATTCGTGCCGAAGCATGACTCCCACACTTAAAACCGTTATTTCATTTGCAGTTGAAATGACGATCCTACCTCAAGTCTTCAAGTTCCAGACTTACCCCAACAGTACGAAGACAGCAAACTCCTGAGGATCGAAGGGGAAGTCTTGTGGCAGGTTGGTGGGGAACAGGGGCTTCACTGTCGGCATCGCGCCAGACCATACTGATAGTAGGCGGAACATCTGGAAGAATTATCACGTAAGTACATATATTTAACGGATTACAAAGTTAATATTATAAGACTGCCTCGTTGGCCGAGTAGTCGCAAGTGGGACTGCCGAGCAAGAGGTCTCGTTCGATTCCCGGTTCGGGCACAGTATTGCTGGATTTTTTTAATTAATCTCAGTAGTAGCACGGAGTCTGGAATTGTGCTCGGTATATGGCAATAGGCTCACCGCCTATTACATGGGACTTATAACATAAATAGTGAAAAGGGGATGTGATATTGTACAGTGGCATTAAGTGCCGTAACGTCTACTCCTTCGAGGATAAAAGGCGTGATGATGCTTATATCTGTTAATGTAGATAAATCTGTTAATGCTTATTAATATTTTTTTCTAATCGACCTCGTCTTTGTGTATTTATGCTTCCTTGTGTAGTACAGAAATAAACAAATTAGATCATTCAATGCGCAAGTACAGAATTTCTTCATCAATTGATGAGAGCGTGTGCGCAGTTTTTCATTAAGTGATCTAGTTACTAGTTAATTCTAGTTTATACAAATTAATGTCTTGATCATTACTATATAGACTGATGGATACGTGCGTGGAACATATCTACTTTTATTGATACGGCCTATAATTTATTAAACTGTCAAACACCAAGCGGTCACCGGTGACCGCAACCTATTGTTCTATAATTGTGTCTATAATGACGGCATTCGACGAGTTAAACAATTAAAAATTATTGCCTCGTTGGCTAAGTGGTCGCAAGCGTGTACCGGACGAGGGGTCTCGGGTTCGATTCCCGGGTCTGGTTTTCTTTCTAATTATCAGTAGTAGCACAGAGTCTGGAATTGTGCCCGGTATATAGCAAAAGGCTCACCCCCTATTACGTGGGACTCATAACATAAATAGTGAAAAGTAGGTGTTACATTGTACACCTCCGCCTACCCCTTCGGTACCCGGAAAGGCGTCTTCTATTTTTCAATTTCAATTCTAGGTAGGTACATATAACTCGGTAAAAATCACATTGGTAGTTGCCGTTGGTTGGTTTCGAACCGCGCCCTCAAGCAAGAGAAGCAGGTGTTTTTAATCTCCGGCCAACCACGACTCAATTGTGAAAACTATATAATTTTTAAACTGAAGCCTTAGTACGAGTTTGTTATACGTTTAAAGTAATCGAAACGACACCTCGTCTGACGCTCTGATTGGTTAGTTCATTGTAGCCGGCCAATCACAACGCCGAACGCGTACTCGTCACGATTGTTTTAATCGTAAAAGAAACTCGTACTAAGGCCTCTGGTGTAAGCGTTTACATAATCTATAACGTTCGTAATAAGGTTCAACTTACAATAGCACTGCAGCAGGCGGCGAAGAAGCCGCGCCAGTAGTTTCGCACAGCGAAGTATGTGGTCGTTACTTCTATTGAGAATAGGACACCTGGAACAAATAGAAATATTTTAGAATACTATCAAAAGGTTGAAATGATAGGAAACGAGCGACGTGAAAACATTTGATAGAAATAAAATAAAAAACGACTTCTAAATTGTAAAAGAATTAAAATGTAAAAAATAAGTACGATGACTTTTGTCTTAAATAAATTAACTTTGATATACCAACTAGGTATTTTTTGAAATCGGTGCCTGTCCTTTTTTTTGAAGTCGATTAAAAAGAGTAACGATGGAAGTTCCTTGCTCGTTCTTCATATACGTACGAATCTACGCTTTGGAACGAGCATTAAATGTCATTGACTTACAGGACTCATATACATACGATTTTACACTGGAACGAGCACTAGTTTTCATGGCGGACTATTTTATAGTTTAAAAAGTGCTTACATATTAATAATATATAAGTGCTTTGACTTTAGTGAGCTGCGAATAGAATAATTCTTTTATACGTTACGTTAAGAAAAACCGACTTCAACTCCCCCTTTTTTTTAATTTAAGATAATACCATGAATAAGATTGACCATTAAACCTGCTTTGCTCTCTAATTCTAGGTACAATTTTGTACTCAAATTATGTTTTATCTATAAATTTATGTTTGTTGTTCCCCACTTACAAATTACAAGTATTTAATCGCACACACTTATCAAAAGTAGTTTCAATTGAAATGTAATAAATTAATGAATATTCAATAACCAATTGAGTATCATCGAGTGATATAGACGCTGAAATAGGTCAGACAAATTTACGGTTGCGTGTTTAGATAAATCCTACCTACTAAGACCTTTAAAGTATACATTGTAATATTTCTTCATTATATTTAATAAGTATGTATTGTGTGATATATATAATTATATATATTTACATATGAAATTATGTAAAAAAAACTTACAACAGTGTTAAACTTCTACACCTACTATTGTGTATCTCTGCATCACCGTAAGGTTGATTTATTTATTTATTTATTTATTTATTGCAAAATGTATATACATAGTGGTATTATACTACTAGTACAGTACATCACCCTGTTAGGGCGCAGCAATTTAACTTATAAATAATAACTAAATAATCATATAACATATTATGTACTTATTCTAATCATTATTAACTTAATTACTCACTATAAACTTATTACTATTAAAATTTTTTATCACTTATACCTCTATACCTATATGATACAATTATATTATTTTATACATTATTTATAAGACATTTTAATTATAAACATTACAAATAATTTAAAGTAGCAACATTACTGAAATTGAGGAGAATTGAAATTATCACATTAAGTTAGGAACTATAATTACATATTAAAAATAAAATAAAATTGACTTAACATAATCTAACGAATACACATCTCTGTTACCACATTCACCTGAGTTTTATAAAAGCTCTATAAAATACATACTTAGGTTATAAAATACATAGGCTCTATAATTTAGAATGAAAACATATTAAAATCATTGTGAATAAACATCATCTGATAAATTATAAAATTACAATGTAGGTACTATTTTGTTGTAAATGCATTTTTTATCTTCGAGATACTCCTGAATACTATAGTATGATTTTTTAATTAGAAGAGACTTTAATCTAGCTTGGAATATACAAAGAGTTTTGGTTGACCGTATTTCCTCAGGTAACTTATTATAAATTTGGATACTTCGGTATTCTGGGCTATTTTTATACATCTGTAGTCGAGGTGCTGGTAGGATCAATTTGGTATTTCGGCGTTCGTTTTTATTGAAATTAAATATTTTGATATTTTTCTTAACAAAACTGGCTAGCTCTAGTATGTAGATGGACGGCAAAGTTAGTATTTTCTCTCGTATAAAATATGGTTTGCAACTATCTCTAGGTTTAATATTATAAATTATTCGGAGACATTTCTTTTGAGCAATGAATAGATCTTTGGCATCTACACTGTGTCCCCACATAATAATCCCGTAGCGTAACCACGCATATGCATATGCATAGTACGCAGATAGAGCACACTGTGTGTTGGTGTTAGTTTTTAACACATTCAACCCATATGAAAATTGAGATAGCTTTATTTTAGTAATGTCTACATGTCTTTTCCAATTTAAGTGGCAGTCTAGTGTTATACCCAATAGTTTAAATTCTTCAACTTCTTCTATTTTAAGAGTATTAGATATATTCTTAAGGTTAATTTTTTGTTTTTGGTATGGTTTGAATTGTATGATTTTTGTTTTCTTATTATTAACTTCAAGGTTGTGATTCAAGAGCCAGGATTTTATGAGGTTATATGTGTCAATAATTTGGGTGTTGTATTCTAGATTATTTGAAGGACTTTTGAAGAGAATGGAGATGTCATCAGCAAACAGTACACATAGATGGTCGCATATTTTCGGCAGGTCATTGATATAGATGAGGAAGAGTATACAGCCTATCACGCTGCCTTGTGGTATAGACCAGTTTGTAGTTAAGGTATCCGACTGTACATTTAAAAGTTCACTTGTGTCATAGTTTAGGTAGTCTATTTGTACGCATTGTTGTCTATCTGCGAGGTAGGACCTAAGCCATTCCAGTATATCTCCTCTGATACCAACTCCATCTAACTTTTTCAATAGGATCGAATGGTTCACTTTATCATATGCTTTGGACATATCAAGTAGGAGACCTATGGCATAGTTTTTATCTTTGATATATGTCAGGATTTCCTGTGTGTATTTATAAACGGCTAGTGTGGTTGAACGGTGTTCTCGGAATCCAAATTGGTTATTGTCTAGAATGTTATATTTTTCAAAAAATTTACTCATGCGTTTAGTAATAACTTTTTCGAATATTTTCGAGAAAGCGGGTAGTAAGGCTATTGGTCTGAATTGGCTAGGATCGGTTAGGTTCCCACCCTTTTTTGGTACAGGTTTAATTTTTGCAATTTTTAATCGGGACGGAAATGTTTTTTCTTTGAAAGATTGGTTTATAAGGTAAGTTACCGGAGGAGTGAGTTCCAAAGCACATGATTTTATTAATGTTGAGGGTATTTCATCAATGCCACAACTCTGTTTGCTTGCAAGGTTTTCGATGATTTCAAGTATCTCACTTTCTGTGATTCATAGAGAATGCCACTAGGTATTTAGTCCGCCATTATATATTGTACAAAAAGTGTAAAAAAATACTGCCTCGTTGGCCGAGTGGTCGCAAATGCGACTGCCGGGCAAAGGGTCTCGGGTTCATTTCACGGGTCGGGCAAATTATTACTGGGTTTTTAAAAAAAATCTTAGTAGTAGCACGGAGTCTGGAAATGTGCCCGGTATATGACAATAGGCTCACCCCCTATTTCATGGGACTCATAACATAAATAGTGAAAAGTGGGTGTTATTTCAGTGTGCACCTCTGCCTACCCCTTCGGGGATAAAAAGCACGATTTTATGTTATGCATGTAAATAAATAAATAAAGGAAGAAATTAAAAAAGAAAGAATTAAGCAAATCTATTGAGAAACACGGCACGATTACCCAAACCAATACATGTTCATTTTGAAAGTACCCAATTATTGCAACCTGGTCGTTTGAAACGTCACTGAGAATTACCCACTATCTGGACTCCATAGTATGGTTGATTGATTGCAACCAGGTCGAAACGTTGGGAAGAATTTTTTACTACTCTTCTCCTATCTCCAATAAGACCTATCTCCAACCCCACTCACCTCCAACCGGAGCAGCGAAGCACGAAGCGACACCCACAGCACAAGCCGCAGCCAGCATCTCACTGGTTCTGGACTCGTTGGAGTAGATCCCTTGGAAGGTCGTCACCAACTTCGAGAGGAGGGTCGCCACCATTGATGCTATGTGGACTGATGGGCCCTGGTTGTCAAAGGAGATTTGAATGCGTTTTGGGAAAAAATTTTGCTCCACGTCTGAATTACCTTCTTTCGGACCATCTCAGGTATTTTTTGAAGAGACACGTGAATAATATTGTGTTTTTATACCTAATTAAAAAACCTATTTTTGAAAAGGGAATTAGTCGTAGTTGTCTTATTTTCGCCATTTAGTAGCATGTAACCTCGTTATTAAAAAAGCGATTCCAATTTGTTATGTAGACTTTCGAAATCAAAAACTTCTGTTTACGCACCAACTGTTCACCTAAGAACGCTTGTAAAAAAACTTTATATGCATTTTAAGGGATCTTCGAAAGTCTTTTAATACTGACCTCTTTACCAAGTGGTAGACCGGACCCAAGTGTAGCAGTGAGACCAACGATTTTGGATATCATGGCTCTGTAGGTGAGGTACTCCTTCAGGTGCACTCCTCGGAGGATGGTTTTCATTTCAGGTATACCTGAACCTGTATGGAGATTTGGTTTTAAAATAGGCAAATATTTGTCTGAATGTAACTAAAAGCTAATTTTTCTTTTGTCTATTCTCCACTGAAACTATCTGCTAGTCAATTTAGAACTCATTTAGTTAAATAGTTGCTTATTAAGTAGGTCATCATATAGGTAGGTAAACATTCTTAGGTTTATTTTATGGAAAATGTTGTTACGACCACTGCTTGACAGACCAATTAGATATCACTTCTTAGCACCACATACTAAAAACAACGGTTTGGTCCCTTAATATTAGGAGTAGTGGGAACCTAAACCCCTCGCTACAGCTCCTGTAGGATACTAGTGACTTTTATTCTACGTAGTATTCAGATTTTAGTGGTTTACATGTAAAATACATTCGATATCTTACCTATACTCTGTGCAGCCACTATGTGTACGAATCCGGCGGCGAACAGAATGAGGCACACTGGCAGAGACACCCAGGCCACGTATTGGCTGAATGTAGACGTCGCCAGGTCCTTGTACATCCACATGCGTGCTGGAATGAACATCAATATCACTGTTATTCCACCCAATAGTTGGCAATTTATCTTTAAGCATGATTACATTATTTGTATTAATTCGATTGTGAATTAATTTTGAACTCCTTTGAAATTAGCTAAATACAAAAAAAAAACAATAATTTACATTGAGGATAATGAAGATGAAATAGGATACTTACAATTAAGTTATTGTCCTTTAATAGAAGCATGAAAAGATGTTCAGAAATTAGATAAATTTGCATATTTGTCATACACATTACTAAAAAAAGCCTAATCAATAATTGTTAGCAATAAGTTGTAAAAATAAATATTCTACTTTTAATTTTTAACGACTTTATCTACCCAGCTGTTATTTTTCAAACAATTTACTTCAAAAAGACAGCTGGAGGAGGAGGAGACAGGATAGGAGAAACTCTTACCATTCTGACATACGGCGATCCCCCTGTCCATAGCGAAGTTGACAACCGCCATGATGATGCCCAGCAGAGCCAGGAACACCCAGTCCTCGCCCAGCCGAGCGAACGTGTGCCTCCATACATAGCCTGCACCAAACTTCATGCACGTGATTATTTATCATCAGAGAACGTACAAAACTAGAGTTTTGCAATAGATTGCAGAGGACAGATGGCACTCTCCACCTAAAATGGTGAGGCTCAACCAAATCAGGTCAAGATTCAGTGCTGACTGACTGACTAGCAAATGTTAAGCAGCAGATCATAAAACAAATTAGAAAGAGGTAGAAGGATGAGAGAGGAGTTATAAAGCCCTTGGAATATCTTGGACGTCTGATAAAAATGAAATGGAAATTGCTTTAAATATAAGCAGATTTGTCTTCATATCTGGATAAGATAACCAAGTGCTAGTGAAAGATGAAGTAGAGATAGCAAAGGCTACAGTTTAGTCACCACCCCTACCGTCGCATCTCCTTCAGCAGAGACCGGGGTAGCAGCAGTCTTTGATAAACTTGAAACTTTTAAACTGTAAACTGATGAAGTTTACGAAGGAGAGATGATCTCCTGTCGAGAGCAGATACTATGGCAAACTGTCTAGTGTCTACGTTGAGGAGGCTCATAGCCCATCAGTGGACTGTAACGGTCTGCTGATGATTTTACTTCAAAAAAACAAATAAGACTGTTTCTTCTTGTAAATATCTTCAAGGAGACTCACCTAATACTTTAAAGAACTTCCCCCTAGGTCTGTGTTTGCCGCTTGCTTCCAACTCCTTCTGTCGGAGTTTGTCGTCTTTTCTTCTCTTCTTCCGTAGTCTTCTGAGTCTCCTTGCTTCTTCTCTAGCTGCTTCGCTTAGGTCGCGTTGATAGCGACCATACATCTGTGGAAAGAAAGGAGTTTTGATCATTTTGTTCGATATTTTGTCCTAAGCTTGATCCTAATATTTCTGAATATAGTGAATATGTTTTTACCTAGTTATTAGTTTGATACTTGTACCAATACGATTATTATGCATAAAGATATTTTGAATAGCATATTGTAGAAACTGTAAATTTGATTTTGTTAAGTACTTAGGTAGATTTTTGGAAAGTGATAGTTAAAATACTTAAGACGATTAACTGCCAATTTCAACCACCTATCTAATTAAAAAACTGCGGATTAGGTTGATTTTTGACAGAAACACCATACAATTAATGTCAGAAATCGATCCATAACTACAGATTTTGGATTCAAAGTCAAAGTTATTATTGCAATTAATTCTTAATTAGGCTATTTTGAAACGTCAAAAATTATATTTGCCTGTCAATGAAGCTAGGTTCTCGTTCCAAAGTATTGTTTCGAGTGGAGAAGAACGAAAAAGAAACTCCATCGTTGCTCTTTTTAAAAAAAAAGTTTGTTTGTTTGAATAATTGAGATTATTGAAATCGGCAGTAAGAGGCTCTTCAAAACGTAATAGAAATGGGAAGTTCTTGGATTGACTTATGTTTAAATAACAGGTAAATTAGCAGACGACAAGTTTGATTCCCGCACAGAGCAACTCTCTCAACAAATTGTTGTTTCTGGTCTGGGTGTGATGTGTATGTGAACTTGTATGTTTGTAAACGTACCCACGATACAGGAGAAAATTCTAGAGTGGGGCAATAGCTTTTTAAATAAAAATAACCTCACTTCTAGAGCAATATTAAGAAAAAATCGAAGTAATTATTAATCAAGAAAGCGCACTTAGAATTTTCTTCGTCACCTACCACAACCCTGCTACCCCTTTCAACAATATCCTCCGAGTCCATTTTGAGACACAACCAATAAAAGCTAATTACAGATTACATTTTTTCAGCCGACTACTGAATACCGTTACAGTGAAAATACTGAAATTCTGTATTACGGCAATAGAGCCTTGAATCCTTTCATGTTTACAGTAGCTATCAGATTATCGCTAATGTGTAACTAAGATAATTAATTTATCCGAAAATACCTGTTTGACTTTTTAATATTTTTAGCTAATATTTGGTGGATTATCTTTGGGAATTTAACCTTACAGTTAATTAGGGAATATGATTTAGGACATGATTGTTTGCTCCCCTCAGGGTACAGATCAAAGTTGTGTAGCACGTAAATCTCAAAAAAGTAAACTAAAACGATTTTTGTATAAAAAATATTGGCCCCAGTTGTAAGTTTCCCAGATCACCCACAAATAACGAGTATTTTGAGATGATTCAAATTTTTAATGATGTAGTTACGACTCGACTCGACGACGACGACTCGAAGATTTTTTATATTTTTTTTTTAATTTGATGGGCCGACGTTTGACCCCTGTAAGCGAGATCAACCGCGTAAATCCTGGGTGCTTACTCTTAAAACCAATCACAACGTCAGTGCAATTTCAATCCAATAAAATCTCAATAATTATTCAATGTCAAAACTTTACAACCCCTATCGTACCTAGCCGTTAAAATAGCATTCAGAGTACTGAATATAAAGCTAAACTCAATACCATTTAGTTCATTCAATATCCACGCAATACGGGTGCAATGGGCGCTACTGTTGCAACTCAAGAGTACGAGTTTTCACAATACCAATGTCGATCGATCGGAATTGGATTCCAGTGTAATCCCCCTGTTCCTGAGTATCATAGTTTAACAGTAGAAAGTTAATTCTTCAAAAAAAACTGTTTGAATTTGACCACTTGTATTGTTTCACATCGGATTGATATACCCAGAGATAATTAGAAGCTCTTCAAATAAATCGACAACTTCAGACCTTTTACATCAGTAACGTTCGGTTAGGAAGTGTCCTATTTATTATTTTGTTTAGGTACATAGGCGAATGAATCATGGAATTTTCTAAAAAATCTTGGCCAGTACAAAGGTATGAAACGGCTTAGCATTAATCCGTAGATAAACCAAAATCAAAACAAATACAAATCTTATCAGTAAAAGCGGGTAGTCAGCAATGGCCTTGTTTAACTATCTCCTGTCGATATACACCTACAAAATTTTGTTATGTACAGACGTACAGACAAACTTCGAGAGGACTACAATTACAGTAAAAAAGGGCTTTTGAGGGGGGAAAATCATGACTTTTCCCACCTTGGGTTAGGCGAGAGGGAGTGTCAGACTCTTACTGACTAAAAACCATCCCATTCCTACTCCTGCTCTTCGAGCCGGAGCCCCGGCAACCCGTTAGGCCTTCCGCGGCTCCGTAATACCCTTAGAATACTTATATTAGTTAAATAATCTAAGAGCGTACCTAATATGTTCATTTCAATCATAAGAAAAGTACATTGCCGTTTATTTTACCTATGCAACTTCCCATTTAGTAATTAAAAAGGTTGATACGTTTTGCAAAATACATGTTACTGATATTGGGAAATGAGATATGAATTAAAAAAAAATGTTATTAGCCCGAGTACAAGGGGCGAATTTATTTAAAAATCTGGGTACAGAATACAACTATTCTTAAAAAAAAAACAATAATCATTTTTACTAAGCACAGAACGCCTTGTGCTGACACCTGCAGCAATCATCATATCAAGAAAGTCGTCAACTGAAAATGACTTGACGATTTTATAAAATGGCCGCTTACAAGCCGAAATCGGGTGTAAACACTAGTGCTGTGTAAATCATGTGCTTTCATGTCCTACTAACATTTTGATTGAATTACAAGGCGATACGACAATAACACATGTTCTGATTTACGATAACTTGTGTCCGATATTATCTACATTTAGGTACTTGAATGTATCAAGGTGTTTAGTGAATCGTTACTGTTTTAATGTAGTGTAGAACATGGCAACTAAGTACCTAGTTTTCAAGCTTAAAATATGTAGAAAAATCTACATGAATAGCATGAATACTGCCTTGGAATTTGTCCCGTATTATGAACTACAATGCCTGTAAAGTCAGAATCTACAGTAGACCCCTAAACACAGAAAAAATGATGCACCATGAGTCCTAGAACATGAAAAGAATTATCTCGTATCAATTTTGCAAAGACAGTTCCCACTACTTTCTGTCTTTAGTCTGCTAAGAAGGAACTGCTACACGTTTATGGCATATTCACAAATATGTCCTGCCCTATACGTAAAGAAAGTGGAGACACAACTGAAAAAGTCATAGTCAAGTCATGTTAGAGGCGCCTCATTCATGAGGAGCATTCCGCAAGACGCGATGCGGCGACTGACGACATAAATATTAGCCTCCAGCATAGCTTGAAACTAGTCGAATTCCTCGTCAAATAAGTACGTGAGTAAGCCGAAAAACATATTAATTAATATAGTATGTCTCACGAAAAAGTAAATAATACAACCGTGTCATACTTTATTATGTTATGGTTTATCCAAAACGACATCGGCGATCGACCCCGTGGAGGTGCTAAGTTATTTAGCGAGTGACGGCATTGGCCATTGTTAGTCTAAAACGTGACACGGATTACATACTATTGTATCTAGTATCAAGATTATTGTATGTTGAAGATATGTAATATTTGTCCCTGGTGCTGTGTATCGCTATTTTATAGACCAAGAGAGATTTATAAATGGTTATGCTAAAGAACTTAGGGTTATATTATTTAAACATTTGTGAGACATACTAAATTAATTCTATGTTTTTCGGTTTAATCACGCAACTGTTTGATGAGGAACTCGACTCGTTTCAAGCCATGCTAGAGGCTCATATTCATGAGCAGCATTCCGCGACCCGCGACCTAGTGACTCGCGCTGCTACTGCTTTCGAGCAGTTACCTACGTGAGTGAACCGAAAACATAATAGCTAACTTAGGCCGTTATGCAGATACAGACACGACTTTTACTGATGAAGAAACTACTTCGAAGTCAAAGTCAAAATCTGTATGTTTCTTACTCAACCACGTCAAAATGACTGAAGGGATCACGGAAGGGGTCGGAATAAAATTTGGAACAGGAACTTCTAACAAAGACTTCTCACCTATCAGTGGGTGTGTAATACGTAAGCTATAAGTACGTATTACCATAGTAGTTATATTTTCTTTTTAGTTATTACCTTTCGTTTGTTTTTAGTTCAGCTTTTTTATAAATACTACACAAAATATTCAAGAAACATAAAATCTCAACCTCGC